GCCCTGGGGGCCACACAACACGGCGGAGCCATCCTCTGACACACCAGAAGATCAACATCATAACCGGAAAGGCTGAAAAGCTCATCAGTCCATCAAAAATCCGAACAGATACCTAAAACAAATACCCCAGCAAACCCCAAGCACCCCAAGAAATCTAAAGAAAGCCAAACAAACTCCTACACTTACAATACCTACAGACCTATGCACTTCTACCCAGACAAACTTTACAAAACATTATTGTATAATGAAATTAAGAGTTTGTAGTTCTCCTTATTTTACTTGTCAAAATAAAAAAATATTCATGTCATGCAAATAAATAAATACATGTATTAAAAAGCACACTGTGTCGGTGTCACATTTTTCCATACCTAGACATAAAAAGTATGTGTTTAGGAAGGTGCTGTAATGATGAGGTTGGGCTGGATGGAGTCAGACAAACACAGGACTTTCATCAAGCAGGCAACTGTTTGAGTCCCGTGTGAAACCAAATGTCAATGTTGGCTTGTCATATACGAAACGTAACTTATGATCTTTTCCCAAAGCTAACCAAGGAGTTTCTGGTGCCTAAACCAAACCAAACTGCAACTTTATTACACTTTATTTTGAAAGTGTAACCGAACATTGTAAAGTTGCTATTTTTTAATTTTAGAAAACAGGTAAAATATGTGCCAAACAGCACAGTACTTCTTTATAATGCTGTTTGCCTACAAATCTACAAATCTTGTTGTCCAGATGTAAGAAAAAATGTTGGTTTCATATAGACCCCAATAAATGTCACATCATGATGTAAATAGTTTTTATCAGTGAAAATGAAAATTATTATGCAAAACTGATCATTCCCATTCCCAATACTCCCATTCACAGTAACTGTCATATCTGTCAAAATAATCGCCATTTGATTAGTTTTTACCACATAGTGCAGCCCTAATTTATATATATGCATTTACATGTGTTTTACTGTGTTTGTGTGTGTGGGCTGCAGTTGATTTATTGCATTTTAATGGATGCTCTGCTTTTTCTTCAGGCCAGGGCGTTTGGTCCTTATGTAAGCGGTGTAGATGTAGATGGACCACTATAAAAGTGCGAAACCCACTGTGCATCACAGTGTAATGCAGAGAAATAATGCATCTAAGAATAAAATATACTTTACATGCTCAATATTCATAATGCTCAAGGAAGCAAGGAAGAAAATTGTGAGGTGAAAGTACAAAAGATATCAGCACAAGTGCAGGAATCTAGAGAAAGCTAAATCACTTGAAGAAGAAATTCTCTCACTGAAGGCATCAGCCGGGAAAAATTATCAGTGGTGAGTCATTCTCCAGAATCTCTGTCCTCACCTGTCACTGTTGGTGCTGCGGCATGCTTTTGTTTTGCAAAAGCACAATGCAGCAACCTTCCACTGCTCTCCCCACTGTACCCCACTTTGTAATTCCGCCCACACAGGCCAGTGTACAATTACCCATGGACCATGAAATAACAGGTTCCTGCTGTCAGATCTCGGGGCTGAAACATGTCAGAGCTGTGATTAGCCTTGGGGTCAGATTCCACAGCTGTGATTGGCTAATTTCATATGTAATGGAACGTTCACATGCTCATCATTAACTTGTGTTTGAGTTTCTATCTGGTTTACATCACAGAGGGGCTTTGTCATTGGTCCAATCCATTTAATGAATTTGAGCCATGATGGATGTATTAACTTGTCATTACGTTCTCATTGTTTGGGCTCCCACAGACCCCTCTGCAGTATGTGGTAAAATAATAACAATTGCAACCAACTTTTTTCTTTAAAGTGTAACTACATCCTTTTGCTCGCTCCCTCCCTCCCTCTCAGCAAATTAACAGTGACTTTAGGGGACATGGCATGGACAAACAGGCAGTGATTGACAGACTGACCAGAGTAGTGTAGCAGGAACAGCAAGCTGGTTGTCAGAGCTAATGAGCAGCTACTGTCAGATTTAATAGTCACTAGAAGCACATTCATGCCCATTTGAAAAGGTTGCTGTATGGTACCTGTGTGTAGCTGAGCTAATGGCTGTGCTCTCTGGCACGTGTGCGTGTGGGGGGACTGTCAGTGGGATCAAGGTAAAGCTTGCAGTCAGGTGATGTTTCTACAGCATCTAAAGCACAAGTTAGAACCACTGCACGGGAATAGGAAAATACTAAGTAGACAGTTAGCAAAACCTAGGATAAACGCCTGTGAATAATGCGTCTCAATCTGTATACATTTGACTAGACTCCCACTCAAAGAGGAGGCTGGGGGAGCACAGAACACTGTTTTTTTATAGAAGTAATAGTCCCAAACAGTCAAATGTGTCAGAACCTAACTTACTAGATTCAGGATGATTTTAAAAAGTAGAGGGCTTGTTGAGACATTTTTAACCCCCAAAATGCAGATTTTCATAAATGTGAATCATAATAATAATAATAATAATAATAATAATAATTGTAATAATAAATTGTATTTATAGAGCGCTAAAAACAACACACTAAAATATATATATATATATATATATATATATATATATATATATATATATCTACAACACTCAACAATGAATAAAACATTAAAAGCAGTTCTGAAGAGGTAGGTTTTGATAAGCAGCATTCATGTGTTTCATCACAGTATAGTGATATAATTCAATTTACAGCTCAGAAAACATGTTTTGGGGGAGCACCTTAGTCTATCTTAATCTATCTATCTATCTATCTATCTATCTATCTATCTATCTATCTATCTATCTATCTATCTAGTGCAATAGTGTGTACACACCAAATGCAAAATTTAATTATGCCTCCTTTACTCGCAGAATCATTTGTGTTTACTTACTAAATGCCACTCGTCTTAGTAAAGTAAAACCGAATTCAGTAACACTTATTTTCAGCACTTACCAGGTAGTCCAACTTCCTCTTACTCTTCTCCAAGCTTTCTCCTGATGTAGTATCACAGCGCTCTGGATGCACACAGACGGCTAAAAGTGGAGGTGGCACTTCTATGGCTCACAGCAGACAGGTTGGGAAGAGAGAGTGAAGATAAATCCACTTTTTAATCCCAGAAGTTTAAAAAATGAACTCTAAGCTCTCCTCCGAGAATGGGTCCTATTTGGCTCGCTCTGCGTTCGATATTTGTTTTTAAAACATCAATTAATCGATTTAGTACACAATGATTACTTAAAAGCACATTATGTGTATGGGCAGTGGGTGGGCCACAATTAAATTAGGGGGGGCCCTGTTTATATGTTATGTCTCATGAATTCTATGCTGCTATTTGTGAGGACCCACAGCACACTCATGTGTGCAAGTTGTGTGTATAGTTATTTGGGATTTTGGGAGTCTTATGTAAAAAGTACTGTCAGCACTGACCACAGATACAGAGCAGATGGATAATGTTTTATTTAACCATATTTTACAGCTGAGAACCTCATACAGAAGTAATGCAAGATTTTCTATCAGGTGAAAATCATGTTTAACTCACAAGGTGGGAAAATTAGGCTATCGTCCTGCATCTGCAGCCTTGCTGCATTTAGTATTCTTGTGGGGCAGCCAACATATTGGGAAATCATTTATAAATACATAACACTACATTTGCTATACATTTTATAATCTCTAATGAGCTGTCACCTGATTGGGTGAAACACACATTTCACAGACCTACAAGCTACAATGTCCCAGGATGACAAATACCGACATCATAAATACAAGGTACCCTTTAATGTCTGTATGAGACGCCTTTTTAACACAGTGCTTAACGTTGTGAAACAGTCACAGTTTGGTCAGGTTTAGGAAAATATGATAATTTGGGTTAAAATAAGTACTTGCAGCAAGTCACATGATGCAAGTCCTGTATAATAAGTTCTGAAATATAAAACTTTAAATAAGTCAACAGGGTTTTTGGTCAACTTTTCATTTCAAATGAACCCTGTCTCCTTTGTTGAAAGTTTGTTTGTGTGACCCATCCATTCACCCAACCACCTCTCTACATGGACTTTCTCATACTTTACTCTGTTTCCTGATGTGGATAGGTTACATTTGAGTTTGATGATAGCCCAGTGCTATAGGGTACCTTGCGGGTCAAATTTCTGCATTTGGTGAGAACGGACTGAATGGAAATGTTAACAGTAGAATCAAACTGTATTTTTCTAACCAACCTGGTAGATTTTAAAATACTTTTTTACTGATCTAATTGTTATTACTATTATTATTATTATTATTCATCATTAGCATCATGATCTAGATCTCTATAGTTGTTGCTATTGTTGTTGCTGTGCACCTTTGTCTCTCACTCTGTGTTTGTAAACAATTTTTATAAGGACTACGGTCTAGACCTGCTCTATTTAAAAAGTGTTCCCTTAAATAACTAGTTATGAATTAAACATTTATTTATTATGGGAAGATCCGTTAAGAGATTATTATTATAATTTGTTATCACGTAGTGATTTAGAAATACTCTTCATTCATTAATTTGTCCTCTATCATTTTCTGCTCCACATCGGCACAACACCATTGTAAAACACAATAATCTCAATACAGTCCCAGTTTGATGGAGCAATCTTAACTTTAATTTTGGAGCTTTTAAATAGGACCTGCGTTCTCCAGCACCCAAAACTGAACATTAGAAACATGTATTACTCTCTTCTGAGATGGCAGCTCCATCCATTCCAATGTAAACAGATGTTGAATAGCCACAATGCCCAGATAATTCAGGGAGGAAAAGGGAATCAAACATGCCACACCATAAATCTATTTAAAGCAAAGGAGGTGGATTGTGTGCACATCCAGCCCCATAGAAATAGTCATTTTAGGCGTAGAAAAATATCTTCATCCTCCTGTAATAATTGTTTTTGGGGGAAAAGTTATTTTTGGCCAGTGTGCCTCATGTGAGCCACAGTACTGAATTGTGCTAAAAAAAACAAAAAGGCCACTGTCAGTTTATGATGAGAGCTGTCTGAACATAGCCGTGATTGTTTCATTTGAGTGACTGAGTGTTCTGTTTTTGTTTTCAGGCAGAAATATAAAAGTACATCACAGAGGTAAGACACACACACACACACACACACACACACACACACACACACACACACACACACAGTGGACTGTAGGGGCTATCAATGAGTTGTTAGCAGTTCTACCAAGGAGACATTTCCCCTGTAAACATCTCACATGGTTTCATGAGGCTCAAAGAAACCAAAAAGTCAAAGAAATGAAAATGATCTTTGTATTACAACTTTCTTCTTTCCTCTCCCATTAATCATCTCAGGACCCTTTGGAGTGCCCGACCCCAGAACTACCAGACTAGTTAAAACTATGCTGCTTACACACTGATGCATAAGGGTTAACAATAATGCAGTATATGATAATATATCATACACTTTTCTGAACAACCTGTAGTTTTACTTATGATACTTTAAGTACATTTAAAGCTGCAGTAGGTACCTTTTATGAAAATAACTTGTTATATTTGCTTAAACTTTCACTATACCCTGACAGTAGTACATGACACTTAAGTCCTACACATCCAGATATGACACTAAGGCATGGGCGTACTTGGTTTTAACTGTTACTTGCTTTTAAGGGGCGGCTGTGGCTCAAAAGAAGAGCGGGTCATCCACTAATCGGAAGGTTGTAGGTTCGATCCCTGGATCCTCCCACCACATGTCGAAGTATCCTTGAGCAAGATACTGAACCCTGAATTGCTCCCGATGTATGAATGAGTTAGATTCCGTTTGATGGGCTTCGCCATCACTGAGTGTGTGTGTGTGAAAGGGTGAATGTGGCATGTAGTGTAAAAGCGCTTTGAGTGGTCAGAAGACTAGAAAGGCGCTATAAGTACAGGTCCATCTACCATTTAACTATGCATTTGTGTGTGCATAAAGACTGCATTCTTTGTACCCATCCTTAGACGTGGTGTGAATGTGCGGTTGTAAATAGATTTCCAGGTTAAGGAGCACCTACAGTGTCATATTTAGAAGCAGAGGGTGACTGACCAAGAGGTATTATTTAATGAATGACATGATGGGTGATTAGTAATCAAACATCATGATACCACAGTTCAGTGAACCTGAACTCACAGCTCATAGAACAGCAGGGCTTCTCCCCCCAATTAATACTACTGCTGCTCCTACTATGTCTACAAATGCTAATATTAATGATAACAACTTAATAAAAAAAATCAGGAATATGAAATGTCTCCATGTCTTGAACTTCTCTTTCGCTCCATCTCCTCATCTGACTCCAGCTGTAACCATGGCAACTATAACAGATTTCATCCAGTTTACAGGAAGGTGTTTGGCTGCCATGACAACGGCACGATGCCTGGCCGCAGTGGAGTCTTTATGTCTCCCTGCCATCACTCTCCTCCGTTGTAAACATTCTAACTATCCCCCTGTCCTGAACAGCAAAAACAGATTCAGATTCAACAGAAAAATCACCATCTGAAACCTCTTGTGTGTCATCGAAGGAAAAGAGATATCAAAAATGTTTAGCCTAGCTTAGCATTTTATAAATAGAAAGGTTTTGGTTGAAATGATCTGCTGTCCTGGCAGATGAAGACACAGTGAGAGCAGAGTGGACATGACAGTCGGGCCTAAAAGGCGACATGTTTATTTCCTGGCAGAGACTCCCATTGCTTACCGTGGGAGTCAGCTGATTGACAGGAGGCAGAGTATCATGTGTCCATCTGGAGGAAACAGATTTTCATGTTCTGGTTCTGTGGTGTGAACAGGGAAGCGACTGTGTGGGTGCGAAGTATGGAGATCGGTACCTTCTTCTGTCAGTTAGCAGGTGAATGAAGTCTGCAGAGAGGATTTCTGAACACTACTTTTGCTCATGTCGAGGTGTGTTAAGCAGAATATATCACAACAGAGGACATTACAGTATATAACTGCAATTAAATTCAGCAAATTCAAATCTGCACAGTGCAGAAGCATTTTACTGATTTATAGCTTGTTGTTGCTGACCTTTTAACACTCAATTCTGATTCTTTTTTTAACACAAAAGAACAATAACAGGTTGGCTACAGTGAATGTATGTGGACCGTTCGCAGAGTGGATGCTGCAACACTATGCTACCACTTATATCAATGAAACTGGTTGCACAAGGTGTGAAAGCAGTGAGTAAGTGGTGCATACACAGCATGGAGATCTGCTCCGCAACTGTATAAATAGGCCTAAAATTTTATTAAATTTTTTTATGTGAAGGATGTGCAGCACTTTTACACAGTAATGGGTCATAAAATGTCTAAATGTTCTTACAAGGGACACTGAAACAGCAGACTGAATTACTAATTTTATCCTTTACAGCTTACTGTAGTCTAAAGATGTTAACATGCCCATATTACACAAACACTCACATTCCTGTGTTCAGTCCACACTGAACACTGAGGACACAATCCTAAAATGACAGCTCACCATCTTGTTGTTCCACTCACACACAGGATGCTGGAAGTCAGTCATATTTGCGCCTGGTTGCTGGGGAGAGAGGACCTGTTTATCATAGTTTATAGTTTTATAATAATGCAGCACAGTAAGATCAACTTATATCATGCAGATCTGTCACTGTCAACAGAGACTCCAGTCTGCAGATCATTTCATACATTTCACTGATTAACCACAGAGCAGTTCGACTAACATCAGGCTTAATGATCAATAAAATTATCTTTTAAAAAGTTTTTATCACATCAAAACTTCTGTCCATATTGAAAAGCTTACCTTTCTGTGTGTCTCTCTCTCTCTGCTGCGAATCTGCATCACACACACTTATCAATTAATGGTTTAGAGCAAATAAGATACGATCTTTGCTACATTTTAGATACGTTTAAGCTTTGCAAATACTGATTTTCTCTATATAAAGCTTGTCTATGTTTAAATGGACTTGCCCTTCAGCCTCTCTGCAAATACATCAAGGGACTGCAGTCTGCAGCAGATCACTAGAGCAGCTTTAAGTGCCGAGTGTGAAGTTCCATTCTGTGAAACATCTTTTGCTCAGACAGCTTATTCTGTCAGAGGAGCAAAGTCTTGCTATCTGATCCCTTGAAATTTGCTACCAACTTCATCACTTTTAAGAGAGCTACCACGTGTTGGATAATTCAGCAGCAAACCTGTCCTCATGTATAGTTCAGTCAGACAACTCACGTTTGAAATGTTTATTAATGGAATATACTATAGTGAAACTGCTATATGTGGGCCTAGGCACCAGCCACCGCGTGGCCTTTTCCCATGAGCACCTCAAGCCATGAGGGAATATACTACTTAGTGAAACCTCATGCAAGAACATTTGCCATATAAGCAAAGATAGAAATACTCTAAATCCAGCAACCACCTGATATGCAATTATATAATTAGGCAGCAAATACAAATATTTAAATGCATTAAGGGGAGCGGGAGCTCAGGAACTTTTGCGCGGTCAAGATTCCTTCGTGTGGAGCCTGACATAGCCTTGGTAGATGTGGGCAGATGGACAGCTGCTCTTAGGGAGTAAGGGGAATATTGTTCTTGTCATGGGTTGCAATCATCGACAATGAACAAGGGAGCCAACCGATGGGTTGGAGAGCGATGATGCAGGGATTTCATCATAGAAGAGAATGGACAAAATTTAGTGTTAGTCTTGGCAATGGAAATTTAAGTGCCTTGGTGAGATCTATCAGATTGTAAGCACTTCAAGAATATTGAGTACATGTGATGTGATCTTCTAAGGTTCAATCAGAGAAGGGGAGATCATGCTGAGGATTAACATGAGATCTGCATGTATATTCACACCTGAGAATCCCGTAAAAGTCATTAGCAGAACTGCCTTCAACATACATAAATATAAAGTGAAAGTGAAGCAATGACGATTGGGTAGAGCACATAAAGAGCATTGGATTTAGAACTGGTTTTAAGGGACTGAATTCCAGTAGGCCAGACGTCTGCAAACCACTCATTATGAGAACCCCCCCAAAACCAACAGAAGGCACCGCATCAGTCAAAACCGGAGGGAATCCACAAATTCCACGTAGTCATTTTAAAAAAGAAATGCCGTTCTATTTATCACATAACAAGTACAGGACTAGAACAACGAATCTGAGCAACAGCCTTTGTCTAAGAACGCAGTATCTTAAAATTTTAAACAGATTTAGCCTAAACCAAAAAGTGTAATATGAAGGAATGAACATGAGTTATAATGCGCATAGCGAAGTTAGAGAGAATCTTCTAGAGAGAATGGAGGCAGCAGACCAGGATTTGATAGCTGTTCTGATGCGAGACAGCTTCACTTATGCAGAGATGCTTGCATGAGCACACTATCGAGAGTTACTGTATGCCAAGAAATCCTAAATGCGTAGAAGGGCCTATGGTTTTCACTTCTGAAAGTGGTTAGCCTAACTCCTGGAAAAGCTTTTGACTGTTGAGATACTGTGAGCTGGCGGGGACGAGGGAAAGTCAACTACTAGGAAATCATCTAAAAGATAAGATGAAACGGAGCTTGCAGGCATAATGCTTCTGTCAAGTAGAACTACTGCAGCAACTGAATGTCAGTTTAACAGAAAAGTACAATTTAGATCACCATCTACACTAAAAAGATGCCATTGCGAAGGGTAAAGTGGTATGACTTGAAGGCATCTGTAATCCCACTTTTCCCAGCCATATACCAACCTCTGGGTGCTGCGTATTCTACACAAGCATACAACAAGGAGAACAGCTCTTACGAAATTAAGCTTTTTATGCTCAGAATGGAAGAATCGGGAGGAGCTGAGAGATCAATAATGAGAAGTTTATTGTTTGAATATTTCCTTGTGGCAACACCTATGGGGCTTACTCTGAAGATGGAGAAGGGTCATTTTGACAATGACCTAACATGTATTCCTTTCTTATTATTAAACCTCTTTTGGAAAAAAAGATCCTCTACTACTTCTGGCTCTGTAGTAGCCGACGTTTTTACAGACATGGGTCACTTTTGGGAGCCAGCATAGACCTGCTAGGAATCCTTGAACTAAGCCGGTGATAAGTAATTAACAAAGCATCTGTGAGGATGATTCGACAGAGCTTTGGCGAGAGCT